TACAGTAAAGTCCTTTAAAGAAACAACAACAATCAACACCTTCTTTTACTCTCTCAGATCTCTCTTTCTCTGCCCCTCCACACTCTTTCTTTACATGTCTTGTCCTCAACACACTTACACCACAACCCATGATAGGCACATGATGTGCTCGGCTCTCAGACAGACATATTTCTTTGTACAGCGGTTTTAGGGCAACCTCTCACCCTTCTATGTGATTCGGCCCCAGTCTCCCTGACCCGTCTTACCCCGACAGCTCTCCATAGCAAATCCAAAGCTGCAGTCAGACATTTATTTACAACGAATCATGCCATGGATAACATGCCAGCAGTGTAATATATGTGCAAAGCTACAATCAGGGTCCAACATTAACACTTCTCAAGTGCCAAGGAGAAGAGAAAAGTCAGATTCGTTGAGTTACTAGATGGGTTGTAAGGAAAGAATGACGGTCTGATCGTCACATGTTTTTTTTTCTTTTCTTAAATTATCAAAATTGTATTTTGTATTTTTTTTTTACAAAAAAGAAAAATATCAATCAAACATTGCTTTAAACACTATCATTGCTATATATTTTTTTATATCATGAGCATAATGTTGTAAAACATACTATTTAGAAAATGAATGAAATAGAATAATGTGTGTGTATATATATATATATATATATATATATATATATATATAATGTGTGACAAGGGGAAAACCTTGGGAGAAACTGAGACTCTACAACATATTATAGTATTTTCACTTAAAATATATAATTATTCTGTACTATATACTGTATATAAATTATTCTGGTGTTAACAAAGAGACACAGGAGGTCGTTCTGTGTCAACTGAGGTTTTGTTGTCCTTCAGGTAGTTCTCGGGGCTCATAAAAAGTGCAGTGAGGATTTTGCTAACTCTGCAAGTCGTGCTTCATCCATAGACAAAAAGATTTCAGCAGGAAATTTGACGTCCTGCCGTGCTGATCCTGTAACCTGCATCAGGTTATTTCTGCTTATCTGGCCTTCCTCTCTGTCTTCCTTGTCCTTCATGATGAAGGCATGTGTTTGCACTCTTTATGTAGAAATATCCTCCCAGTGGTCCTTAGATTGTAAAATGTGTTTAATATAATTTATTGGCTGACATCAAAGCTGAAGGATTTAATCCAAAAATATTATTGGCCTCAAGTTTACAAGTCTGAAATCTCTTTTGCCAAGATACACTAATCTTACAGACCCAAAAAGTTTTGAAGGGTAAAAAGGGTGACAGATGTCTCTTCAGCTCACCAAGGCTGCATTTATTTGATCAAAAATACAATTAAAACAGTAATATTTTAAAATATGATTACAATCTGCTGAATAAAATTATTAATTTGTTAAAGAAAAAAACAACAACTGACTTTAAGCATTTGAACAGTAGTGTATATTTCTTCAAATCTTCAAAATTATAAAATATCCTCATTTTTTATTTATTTCTTTATTTTTTAAACAAGAAACCACAAACAGAATTAAAACTGAAGTAAGAAAAACCAATTAAAACTACAATAGCTATGAGTCATTTCCAACATAATGTTCTCTGAGTTACTGTTGGTTATACATCACATAGGAATTAGCGCTGAGTGTTTGGAAAATTTGCACAAAGATGATTTTGGGCATCGTTAACAGAGATAATAGAGAATAATAAAAAAAGACAGATGATCTTTCAATGCGCTCTTTAAACGCAGAGATATGGAGAACGCTTCAAGGCATCATTGCACCCTTGTATCTTCAAGCTCTTTGCGTCTTGTTATCCACTTTTTTTATTTCTCTCTCTCTCTCTGGACTGAGGAAGCCCTTTAGATCTTGTTGCACACAGATAAAAAAGCATTTCATATTGGGTTTGCCTGCAGGAAGAGCCATTCTCTGTTCTGTTACTTTCAAAGGGACTGGGACTCATTTCTTTGTTGTGGGCTTTTACACACTCAAAGCACAAACAATATTGCAAGAATGTCACTAGTTTTATGACATTTTTTATGCAAATGTCAGAGGTACACTACTGTTCAAAAGTTTAGAGTTTTTTTAATGTGTAAGTCTCTTCTGCTCACCAAGGCTGAAATTATTTGATCAAAATTACAAACAGTAATAATGTGAAATATTATTACAATTTAAAATAACTGTTTTCTATTTTAATATATTTTAAAATGTAATTTATTCCTGTGATGCAAATCTGTGATGCAAATTTCAGCATCATTACTCCAGTCTTCAGTGAAACATGATCCTTCAGAAATCATTCTAATATTGTCACGAATTCGGTTCATGGACTTCCGTTTATTCACCACCAGATGTCACACTTTCCATTACATTGACTCTCGCACTACACAAACTGTTGCATAGCACCCCGGACTACATTTCCCATCATTCTTTGCACAATTTGCATACTGCCCTGATTGCACTCATTGCGCACAGCTGTTTCTAATTACCTCGTTCACTATATAACACCCACTCTAACCACCTTTCTCTGCTGAGTATTGTTTAGCCTGTACCCCTTTCTGAGTCTCCATGTTTTCCTTGTCTTGCCTTGCCTGTTTTCCTGTTTTTTTCCCTCTTGTCTCGACCCTGTGATTCTGTCTGCTGATCGTGACCTACGCTAGCCCTAGGACTATTCTTGTGTTTTGCCCGCCATATACCTGTTTGCCAGTGTTTTGACCCTGCCTGTGTACCACGTCTCT